GCTGCGGTTTCCGCCGCTACAGATTCTATTCCTGTGGTTTCTGCTGCTGCAAGGAACCATCCATTGAGGCTTTATTTTAGTTTGTTGAAAATAACTGGCTATTTTAATACGAGGTACTAACCTTTCTTTTTCTCTTTGGGCCTTTTGAGCTTCTTTCTCGTCAAGAGGGTCAAAATAAGCTAACTCTTCGCATGTTTTACGACTTTCATCTATAGTATTTTGAAGACAAAAAAAAAACAAAATGTTCATCTTGGAGACGTAAATATGTTAACTTTAAAATTGTTTCTGCTGCAGTTCCAGTGCAGAGAACATCGCAGTCTCTCTGACATTTTAACCTCTTGCCCAATCAAGCCCCCTCTCATCTCTTTTTGTGCTTGGCCACAGACAGCTGTGTTCCTTCTCGCCACCCCCGTCTCCTTCACGGTCTCACTTGCGAACAGACTCTGCTGTTCCTATTGTTCCACCTTCATTGGCGGCCACTCCTCTTGTTGTGTATCGTCCACAGTATGCACCGCATCGTCGCTTGCCCGGAGAGATCAGCACCCTGTTTCTTTGTCTGCCCCGATTCTCTCTCTGTCTGCTACACAGGTGGTTGCAGTTCCTTTGTTCCAGATGACAATATCTGCTCCTATGCCCCCTGCAGACAGTCCAGCTTCTTGCGGGCAGCCACACGGCCGTGTTTTATGTTCTGCAGCATGAGATATACATGGGTGACCTGGACAACAGGATACAGTCCCCGACAAAAAAAGAAGACACTGTCCCCACCTAGGGCGCACACCCGATTCCAGGGGCACTCCGCACTCAGGATTTAATAGTAAACGTCCTGGGAATGGAACATGATTTGCCCTGACTGCAAATTGCCTCACAAGGCGTAGGCCTCATTCTGGATTTGCAATTGACCGACCGACATAATTTCGCTGAACTGCCAAATTTTCCCCATTTTTGCCCCACAAGGTGTAGAGTCTGTAGACCACAAGGGTGATCTGCAAATGACCGACCAGCAAACAGCCCAGGACATTTTGGGCTGGCAAACCCATCTGGGTGATCTGCAATTTCTTTGCCAGCATCCCGGCACTCCAGCCTGAGATCCCTCTCAATCTCTGTGGTCTGGCCACTACTAACATCTGTCTTCACATTCTCCAGCACCCGCTTTATACACCACCGTACGTTATTGCAATCGCCCTTCAGCTTGATGTTGATCTTCCCTACCTGCAGGCAGAGCATGGTAATTGTACTACAATTGCCGTCCTAAAGTAGCAATGAGGGATCGCCAACTTATACTACGCAATGCTCAGGCAGAGGAGAGGTTTCATCCTCCGTCCAGCGTCTCTGCCTGCACTGTATCTGGCGATGGCCATTACATGTGGCCATTGTACATGTCTCTAAGGCTCTGATCGGTGGGAGCTGTGTGGCAACGGCACTGTGGTCCATGCCATGACTGATGCTACTGATTTCTTACACAACGATGCTGTTTTCTTGCCACACCAAATCATGTGCAGTCTTTTTTTTTTTTTTTTTCCTATTCTTAGCCAAAAAGACGAGAAAGGTATGAATCGTTTGCACACCCTTTGATGTCGAAGATCATTCTCTGCTGCACACTCTCTTTATGTAGAAGATCATTCTCTGCCCTTGTGCTGCAGCAGGACAATCCGTCAACACTCTCTGACCTTCTCTTTTGTACAGCTACAAAGTTACCAACCTAGGCTACCAGCCGGGCCGCCCGGGTCCCGGGTGGCCAGCCCGTGCAAGGACCAGGGAAGGTCCCAGCAAGAAAAAAAAAAGAAAAAAAAAAAACTCCGAAAAGAAACTGTGTTATGCAGAAAAATAAAATGAACAACTTTTGCCTCAGGGTCACATCGAAATTCTTCGCCAAATTTAAAATAAAAAATAAAAAATATATATATTTTTTATATTTTTTATTTTTTTTGGCCCGGCCGTGCAAGTGACCCCGGGCCACTCTGGTAACCTAGTAATACAAACACAATTACACTCGGCTGCAGCCGTCGTCGTTTGTGTCACAATCGCTAGAACGCCATGGTTTCCACATCCATGTGTGCAGAGGACTGTCCCTCCTTTCCTGAGTGCAGGCAGGCACCCTCTGCATCCGGACACTGTATGTCCATTTTGCGGCCATGGGGCATTATACTGAATGCATGTATTTTCTTTTGTGGTTTTCCCGTTCTTCCTTCATTTTGGCCTTTGTTGGGAGTGTTTGGTGGGCCTGCTCAATCCCAGCCGTTGTGGCAATTGTTGTACTGAGAATGCTCAGCTAGGTCTTCCGTGTCATCATCCATCTCATCCTTCCACACTGCTTACTTTCCCCT